TATGTCACACCTGACAGTTGAAGGACTTATGATTGGACTAGGCCTATGATGCCAGGGTGGGTGGAATGGGCTATTCTATATATCAACTGCTTTCGCGCCTAATTAACCAGACTTCGCTATGCAACCGCTCTTTAACCATTTTTAATTAGTAAAAGTACATTTGATTTTCTACAAATGGAGTCTCGTGGTCTTCTTTCCTAATTATTAAATGGAGAGGTGCTGACAACGCCTTTCCTCCCCTTCCCCTCATCCCCAGGGTTCTGAGGAGGGTGGTAGTGGAGGGAGCAGAGATGATAATGGTGGCTCCCTTCTGGCCGCGCCGACCCTGGTTGGCAGACCTAGTGGAGCTATCCACAGCCCCGCACTGGAGAATTCCAGCGGGGGAGGTGGCCCTGCATCAGGGGTCTCTGGAGCATCCGGACCCGGAGTGGCTTCATCTGACCGTCTGGCGATTGAGCAGGAACAATTAAGGGAGGCCCAATATTCCGAAAGTGTCATCAGGACGGTAGAGGCATCCAGGAGGCAGTCCACAACACGCATTTACAACGCCTCCTGGGTGGCCTTTGCAGACTGGTGCCGAGCTAAAGGCCTCTGCCCAGCTGCAGCCTCGGCCCCACAGGTCCTGGACTTCCTCCAGGAGGGCCATGAGAAGGGCCTGGCCACCAGTACTCTTAGACGCCAAGTTTCCTCTCTCTCTACGGTTCTGGGGATGTGTGTGAACGCTCCTCCATTGTCCCAACATCCGGTGCTGAAGCAGTTCCTCAAAGGGGCGACGAATCTGAAACCCTCTGTGGTCCATCGATTCCCCACCTGGGACCTGCCCACGGTCCTCCAGGCCCTGACTGAAGCACCATTTGAACCCTTGAGAGAGGTCTCCCTCCAGCTACTGACCTTTAAGGTCATTTTTCTCGTCGCTATCACTTCAGCCAGAAGAGTCTTGGAGATCAACGCTCTCTCCAGCAGGGCGGACCTTTGCACCTTCCTAGATAACAGGGTCATCCTCAGACTTGACCCCTCCTTCATGCCCAAGGTCAACTCCCCCTTCCACAGGGCCCTGGAGATCATCCTGCTGGACTTCTGTCCCCATCCCTCAGGGGAAAGGGAGAAATGGTGGCATAAACTGGACGTCAGAAGAGCCCTGCACATATACCTGAAGCGCACGGCGTCCTTTAGGCGTTCAGAGGCCCTCTTCGTGTCTATCGACCGTCCTCCTGGGGAGCCAAGGTCTCCCCGGCCACCATAAGCAGATGGATTAGAGCCGCCATTTCACAGGACTACGAGGCACGTGGCCTCCAAGTTCCAGAAGGCATCACAGCACACTCCACTCGAAGTGCAGCCACCTCCGATGCCTGGTCCACCCAGGCACCCATAGAGGAGATCTGCCGAGTGGCTGCTTGGGCCTCTCCTTCTCCATTCATTAAGCATTACAGGCTAGATGCCTACGCCTCGGCAGAGGCCGCCTTCGGCAGGAGGGTTCTACAGGGAGTCCTGGACTCTCAAGGGGGCTCAGGCCCGTCTAATCCCTCCCAGGACACCTAGTTTTGGTATGTCCCATGGTTACTCCTCCCGCACCTTCTCTTCGGAAACTGTCAGTTGGACTTACCTGAACTGCATGTTTCGAGGAAAGGTGTGGGAGGAGTCACTTCCACCCCCGTTCAGGGCGCCCCGCGCCAGGGGGCCTGAGAGTCCAGTTCTAGGTTAACAGTTAGGAAGGATATGTGTTGGCTGTTCTTGTTTGTCCTTCCTTTCAGATGCTGCTACAATCCATCGGTTAATCTGGGTAGCCAGAGGAGAGCAGTAGGCTTGGCTTCAAAAGATTACCTCAGTCTCCAATAGGCAAGAAGGCTTGGTTAATACCCATGGTTACTCCTCCCACACCTTTCCTCGAAACATGCAGTTCAGGTAAGTCCAACTGCCAATTTCATTGAGAGCTGCATCAGGGTTGTATTTGACCTTGGGGGTGGGGGGTAGTCGGCATGGCCAAAGTGGGCGTCACTCATGTCAGGGGCACTGTGGTTGCCCACGACATGCTCTGCCAGAGAAAAAAACAGGCTCCTGAGCTCCGTTTCCTGCTGCAACGGCCTCCTGCAACCCTCTGCCAGCGAAAATGGAGCTCGGGAGGGCCCCATGTGGCCTTCCCAAGATCCATTTTCACTGGCAGAGGCACCAGGGGCCGGAGCAACACTGTTTCCAGGGTGGCCAGATCTAAGCACCCTGTGGGCCGGATACTGTCCCCGGGCCTTGAGTTTGACACCTTGCCCTAAGGCTTGGAGCATTCTCCAGCTTCCTTCCCCAATAGGCATCATGCCATATGGTCTTCAGCCATAATCTGCTCAATGTCAGCAGAAACCTGCAGTGCAGGAGGGGAGAAGGGGGGGGTCTTCCTGTCAGGTGAATTTGTGCGGGAGAGGTCTTAGGACCGTAATCACTTACATGCTGAACAAGAGGCAGCCCAGTGCTGCAGCTTCAGGAAGGGACTGGGGCCGTCAGAGGCTGAATCAATAGCAACTTAATTTCCAGCACATCAGACATCCTGTTTTAATTCTGCACTCTTAGCCTCTTCTACAATGCTCTTTACCAGTCTGAGGGATGGAGAAGTGGACACTGGCAGTTCTGAGAAGATTGAGGAAAAGTCCTGCAGCCTGAAGCAGAAAAAGCAAGTTGGGGAGATTTGTAGCATTTCAGATTCCTGCAGAAGTACCCTTAGAAGGGATCTGAGGGGTGGATGAAGGAAGTGGGAATATCTGATAGCATCACGGGTGTCAAACTCGATTTCATTGAGGACTGCATCAGGGCTGTGTTTTGCCTCGGGAGCTGGAGTGGGTGTGGCCAGGGTAGGCGTGGCCAACTTGACATCACTCATGTCAGGGGGGGGGGGCGTCTGTGGCAGCCCAAGTGCTCTGCCAGAGAAACAGGCTCCAGAGCTCCGTTTTCAGCTGCGACGGCCTCCTGCGATCCTCTGCCAGCAAAAACGGAGCTCGGGGCCATGTGCAGCCCCCCCCCCCCCCCCCCTCCGAGCTCCATTTTTGCTGGTAGAGGCACTGCAGGCCAGTCCTAGGATGTTTCTAGGGTGGCCCCATGTCAGATCTAAACACACTGTGCCATGGTCTAGATCTGGCCCGCGACCTTGACTTTGACACCCCTGGATTGGACCTTTCTTCTTCCCTCTGCACTTCTCCCCCCCCCCTTTTGTTTTTTTACAAGGAGGAGAGCAGTATGGTGCTTAATGAGCCTGAGGACCGGATGGAGGAAGGCTGATTCTGGCCATTCTGATTCCATGCCAATAGGCCAATTTAATAATAGTTTTGTTTTTTTCTTTAAAAAAAAATCTAAGGAACGATTAGTAAACTCTGTTCCGGTTGGGACAGCCTCTTCAAAAAGAAAAACAACAGTTGTTTAACGGCGGCTTAGCTAATAACAGACTTACCAAAGTCAAGCAAAACTGTGCAATGGTTTATCCCAGGGTCATGGGTATAGGGATGTGGTGGCTCAATGGCTAGGACGCTGAGCTTGTCGATCAGAAAAGTTGGCAGTTTGGCGGTTCAAATCCCTAGCACTGTGTAACAGAGTGAGATCCCATTACTTGTCCCAGCTTCTGCCCACCTAGCAGTTCGAAAGTACGTAAAAAATGCAAGTAGGAAAATAGGAACCACCTTTGGTGGGAAAGTAACATGTTCTGTGTGCCTTTGGCGTTGAGTCATGCCAGCCACATGACCACGGAGATGTCTTCGGACAGTGCTGGCTCTTCAGCTTTAAAACGGAGATGAGCACCACCCCCTAGAGTCGAGAATGACTAGCACATATGTGGGAGGGGAACCTTTACCTTTACCATGAGTATTTGGGCAGGAGGCACCAAATTGGCACAGTACCAGGGTGTCAGCCTTGCAAGGGAGTCTGCTGGCTTTGGTAACGCACTAAGGATCTG